CCAGCGGCCTGGTGCGGGCTCCGGCCTCCTCCTCCTCCTCGATCTCGCCCCGTGCGGTGGGCGCTGCCAATATATGCCGGCAATCACGACGGGGGGCTGCGCCGCGGGGCCCACGGGCGGGTAGGTCGCCTTCCACACAGCGCGACGCGCGGCCCGGCCCTACCTGCCAGCGAGAGCGGGCAGCCAACCAGCCACAGCCTGCGGCGCCCTGGCCGTGCGGCGTCGTTCAACAAGAAACGAATAATAGAATACACTAGAAAAAATTATTCATATGTGGGTAGTATGAAAAGAGAGCAAAATGCGTGGGAGAAATTATTTTTATTGGGTAGGTTTGGCGCTCACCCGGGCAGGCACCGGCGCTCCCTTGTAAATGGCGAGGGGGGACGGGCAGCCCCTGGGAGGTAGGAGCCAATATTGGGAGAGAACGACATGTTTACCACATGCCCGGGCTTTTCTTGGCGCGTCCCTGCAATAGCATTGGTTCATGGACACGTTTGCGTGGGAAATGCTATTATGAGGATGCCATGGTTCTATTTTTTGCAAGGGAAATAGTGACGTTTGAATTTGTGATTGTCTCCATTCAAATGTGCATTCGTAACGATTATTTTGTCAATGTGCGACGTTGTTCTTTAACGTGAAAATACATCAAATTGAGGGATTTTTTTAACACAACACAGTCAAAGTCGCTCACATACACGAGCATGCACTCACATCTATAAACGCACGCACACACATCCTACCCTCATGAGCACCTCTGAGAGACTGAGCCGACACATCATCTTAAGATTGACGGAGTAGCCACGGACGCCTTCGTAGCCGACGAGAACATCTACTCCACTGAACGCACATCGCCGAAATGGCTGAAAGAAATTCAGAAATAACGCGAACACAAATGTGAGTCTAGGACTTATACTCTGGTGACTGTTCTCCTAACCATCCAACCACATATTGGTTCACAAATTGAGAGAAATTGCTCAACATAACCTAGGCCCGTGTGAACTCACTTCTAAAAACTTTAGTGAAAATTATGTTCTATGTTTTGATAATTCAGGAAAAATAATCACATGTGGAGTATACGAAATATAAGAAAGCTAGTATATTATAGCTTTCTTATGGCCATCTGAGCCCCGCGTGAAAATACTTGTAGCTTTCTTATGAATATAATAAATATAATACATCGCAAAAAATATAATAAAGATAAGAAAGCTATAATTATCGTAACTTCCTAATTCTTTAAAGTAATCACAATTAAAGGGTTAAAATTTTAAATTTATTTTATGCAAATTGTTTGATTTCTATAATTGAATTGTATACAAGTTTTTCTTGAAGATTCTTCATACTATA